AAAAAAACTGTATAAAATGCTTAACATAATGCCAGGCAACTTGAGTGCAATAAATGCTAGCACTGATTGTTATTATTTCTATGATTAAGAAACATTTCCAGGCTTTAGAAGAACTCTGCTTCTGTATAAACTTAAAAGTATTCTTTTTCCAAATTTTGTGCATTTATAATTAAACATCAAGGTGACATAAATATATACATAATATGAATATACAGGAAAATGATCTTTTAAAAGATATTAGCCTATATTTTCCATAGCTTACTTTTGTTTTGAAATATTTTATTTAAAATGTTTCCTTAGGCATTTAGCCAAACAAACTTTCTAATCGATTAAATAGAATAAGAACAATTGGGCTATTTAATAATCCAGCAAAAAAGATATATTTCTGATTTTTAAATTAATATGTCCTGTGAACATTTAATTATTATGATTTTTCATTTATTTGATTCAGCCAACCCTGCTATTCTTATAATAAAAGAGCAAGACTGATTCACGGAATAAATATACAATGTATTCAATTTCAAGTTTTGAAAGGTACTCTTGGAGCTACTTTTTCCATTAACTTATCTGTATTTAAATGTTATACAAATTTTTTTTTTATCCTTCATTACATGATGTTCTATAAAGTTAATGAAAAGTTAACTGTCATGTTTTATATCTGAATATCTAGGAACTATCTTCTCTGTGCTTCTTTATCTCCAAAATAAACCAAATTAGAGAAAAGCATCCAAATGACAATTCTAAGCAAGAGAATTAAAGTCATACATGTACTTCTTATACCAAACAATAATTATTTTTTTTTAATTTAAAGACATGAGTTTTCAGTAAAATATGTCTTATATGAGCTAAAAATGTACATTTAACAAACAAACATTTATCACACTTCACAGTTTGCACTTACTGTGTTAATTTTGCATGATGCCAAATCATGATAAATTTACATGTGGAACATGTTCAGCTCAGTTCATGTGTGCTGGGGACTATCTATACATATGAATGTCCACATAATATAAACATAATGACTAACAGCATTGTTTAGAACCAGCATTAACAAAACACTTTCCTAGTTGTAGTATTTTGTCACCAAGATTCTGAAGCTAGAATTAAAAGAGTGTCAGTGTAGATAGGTAAATCCAGTCAGATCAGATCAAGGAGGCCAATTTGGGTCTGGGAAGTTGGAGATTGAAATGCTAATACCTTCAGAGCCCTTCCTCCACCCTAATCAAGATAACCTGCCCCTGCTCCAACCTGTTGCTAAGGGATTGTCCCTACAGGGAGTTTTTAATTAGGCCCCCTTCCTGCTTGGCTCCTCCAGCCCATCTGCTTCACACCTTTTGGCCATCCCATGGAGCATATCCTGGGCCTAGTCTGTATGCAGAAAGGAGAGAGTTAAGGCAAAGAGAGCAGGAGAATAAAGGAAGCTTAGGACATATAAAAAAAGCAGATTATCCTCACTTTTGGGGATACCAGGATAACAGCTATGGCCTCCTTCTCCCTCTTGGGAGAAGTCTATGTTACTCCTTTTAAAATAAACCCTTCTTGGGCTGGGGATATAGCCCAGTTGGTAGAATGCTTGCCTTACATGCACAAGGCCATAGGTTCTAGCCCCAGCATAACCCCTACCCCCCAAAAAAAAGTTAAATAAACTTGCTTATATGCTTGCCTCAGCACTGATAATTGGTGGTATCAATGCTGTTGCTGGCTTGTGGCGATAATAAAATGCATGATAGCTGCTAGTTGTGTTACAGTAGTTTTTAATTCTCAAGAGAAAATTCATTCCTTATTGTCTTAACTCAATGCTTACTCCAGATATTTCACTAATACCCTGCCAACCAATTTAATAAACACTTAATAAATAACTGAAACTACAAGTAAAAATTGACAAAAGTATTTTGAAATGAATAGAGAGCCAAGGAGAGCCTTCTCTGAAATTTCTTTAAATAGGAAAATGAAGAAAGGCTTCACAAAAGAGTTAGATTTAATACTAAGTCTTTATGATAGGGGGGCTCAGACTACATGTGTAGAGACTGGTTCAGGAGAAACTTCAGTTACTTAAAGTTAGGTGGAAAGAACAATGGGTCTAATATCCAGAACTCCTTGGGAGACAAATTTGGTTCACATGAAGACTGGGATCAATTAAAATAGTGAACGAAAATGTAATAAAAGTAAATTGGAGTAAGATCAAGGAAGGCTTTGACATCAGGCCAAAGTGTCTGTATGTTAATAAGCACATGATGAAGAACTACTAAAAGATGTAATGATTAGGAAAGAAGTGAAATAATTAAGAGTTTTCTTTCAAGGAAACTAAATGACCTGTAACAAGTACGTATGTAATTGCTCTTGAATTTTAATTTTGTGTATGGTGCTTCTATTATTTGGGTATCATTTCTCAAATACTATTCCATCTAACAACTGGATGATTTCAGGCGTCTACAGAGGTGAAGACAGATTTTATCTACATATAGGTTATTTTTAGGCTCATATCCTCTGATCATTTTATCATTAAATTTAGATATTAAAATGAATGGGCAAAAATATTGATGCTTCCTCCTAATGTACTAATGGATTATGTGCTCATATACAGTAGGAGTCCCATGAGAAAATGTGTGCATACATTACCAGAAAGTAATGGATTTTTAAATGAATTTGAAAACACAAAGTGACTTATTTCTCCCTCATTTCATAATCCTTGATTTATATCTCTTAAAGTCACATCTCCAGTCTTTTATGTTTTAGCAATTCCCAAGTTGTTCTAAAACAAAGTCTTTGTAAAATGTTTTCATTTTATTACATCAACTTTCATATATATATATTAAATTTCCTTGCCTATATTTGTATATTTTGGAAGAGTCGGCAATGTATACTAAAAATAGTGTTGATTCAATAAAAATATATATGGTGATCATGAAAAGGATTATGTTTGATTTACTACTTCACCC